TCTCACTTTTACATTTTTAAACACGCTGTCACTTTTCTCCTCTTACATTCATTTGAGCCTTTGGTACACCTGTCCTCATATTTTTCATCTTCTTAGCAATTAATGTGTTAAGATGAAGAACAAAGAAATGTTCTTGTGCAGAAACACTTCTCACTTAACTGTAATACAGAATCAATTTTGATAATATTTTTCATCAGCCAAGGATTCAGAAAATCAAAACTTTTCTTCTTTAACAGTAGGGTAAGACGGGGTAAGATGACCACCACCCTAATTTTTTATTAATTGTTTTTTATTATTATTATTGTTTTTATTTTTATTTATTTATTTTTGATGCCACAAAATCTCATTGGAATACTGATGAATGGCTACTTTTTAATTTTTTTTTATATATTTAGTTTATCATTTGATCTGAATATCAGCATTTGTGAGATTAATCTAATTTGGTGTCTCTGGAGAATAGTTATCTATGACATTGTATTATGTTGAATATCAAAGTTTTTTTGTATCTATTTATTAATGAGGGATTTGTCAGCACATTTATGTTTTTAGATTTGTGGGCTAAAAATTGTAGAAAATTCGAAAATTAGACCCTAGTAACAACAAAATTTTATTTGGAATAACATATTCCAGACTCCGTCCTTATTTGGTTTGGTTCCTGTTCCTGTCCCCATTTAGTTCGATTAGTTCCAGGTGTTTCTCATTATTAGTTACCCTTCTCAGCTGTCTGCCCCTTGTTATCTGCCCTATTTGAGTTCGAGCCCGTTCTGTTCTCCCTTGTCTGGAAATGTTCATGTCAACCTTTACTAGGAATGTACATTCATGAAAATGAATTTAAATGCATTGATTTACATTAAAAATGAGTTTTTTTTTCTATCTTATACTTTCGATTAGAATGTGAGTGGTCAGTGTTGCAACACAAATATAGGTAATAGAAAAGTACAATGATTTCCCTTTTATAGTGCCATAGTGTGTTTTCGCTTGCATAATCGTGGGTTTACAGCACAGTGTTCAGTGTGTGTTTATATCTTGAGTACATATGAGTGCTTTGTGGTTGTTTCTCCCTTGTCTGGAAATGTTCATGTCAACCTTTACTACGTGTGTTTTCACTGGACTAAGCTGGAGGGAAGGGATCCTCTGGTGTCTGGAGAGCATCCGGCCCCGATCCAGAACCAGCTCGCCGCTGACTCAGCACTCTTGGATATGGCGCTACCTCCAGAGTTCTCGGCTCCTATCCTCACCCGAGAATCCGCTCCAGAAAGTTCTCCTTCGTCTCCGCTGGTCCCGTCCAGCCCTCCTTAGTCTCCTGATTCCCCCGAGTTAGCCAGCCCTGCTCCTCCAGAGCGCCCTCCAGTGCCCGCTACTCCAGAGCGTCCTCCAGTGCCCACTTCTCCAGAGTGCCCCCCAGAATTCCTAATTTTCCCCAAGAAAATCTTTTGGGGGGGGCGGGGGCCATGTGGCCGTGGTGGCCGAGCCAGCTAAGGTCACAGAGGATCCGCCATGGCCTCCTGAGTCCCCTGCTCCGCCATGGCAACCTGAACTGCCAGCTCCGCCATGGCAACCTGAACTGGCTGCTCCGCCATGGCCCTCTGAACTGCCTGCTCCGCCATGGCACCCCAAACTGCCTGTTCCGGCATGGCCCCCTGAACTGCCCGATCCGCCATGGCTCCTCCGACTGTCTAATCCACCCTGGAGGTCTTCCCTGTGTCTCTGTCTTGCACCAGCCTCCAGGGTGCCCACCCCCCCTCCCCGGTGGTATTGTTACGGCACGGGACGCGCCTTCCGGGAGGGGGGGGAGTAATGTCACGTGTATGTTCCCGTTTAGTTCCTGTTTGTCCTTATTTGGTTTGGTTCCTGTCCCCATTTAGTTCGATTAGTTCCAGGTGTTTCTCATTATTAGTTACCCTCCTCAGCTGTCTGCCCCTCGTTATCTGCCCTATTTGAGTTCGAGCCTGTTCTGTTCTCCCTTGTCTGGAATTGTTCATGTCAACCTTTACTACATGGGTTTTCCTGTTCCCTTGGATATTATTAAAGTCTACAAGTCTGAATTCGACTCTGCGTCTCCTCGTTCCTCACTCCGTGCTCCTCACAGTAGCAAACCGTGACAGTTATATAGTGTTATACAAATTGTGAATGCTTTTGTACATTCATGCAACTGATTATGTACAATTGCTGTTTCCTACATTATCAGTTGCTTATGTTGATCAAAATATATTTTGGTTCTCTTACGGTATATATGTAGATGTTCCTGTGTGTTTCTTTAGTGCAATATAGTTTGATTGTGCATGTGTGTTGTGGTGTAATGTGATTATAAATTTGGCCCTGTATAAAAGTGTTTCAATTGAGGAACAGATGTTCATCCGATGAGAGTAACCACATTTGGTTTCTCTCCTCTAGCCAGTCACAAGATAGCCATTGTGAATGTTCTGGCATGGAGCTGCTTTATTCTATGCTAAGTGTGACATCAATTAAAGAAAAACACACCGCATGGGATGCTGAGTATAGGATTTTTCTTTCATTAATACCAGGATGTGGTATGTAGTGGGTGCTTAAAAACTGACACTGACACTGACAACTATTAACCTAAAATCAACTACGTTCAGAATTCTTGCAATGATAGCTTGCTGTTGAATCCTGCGTTTTCGGCAGTCACATGTATGTAACTGTTCTTCACTAGAACTGACACACCATCTGTGGTCTAATAATCCTCAATATTCAGTTCAGTGTGCGCACACAAACACACACACACACGTTGGTTTTCCATGGGTTTTATGGGGGCATCCTATAGACGTAATGGTTTTTATACTGTAAAAACTGTATTTTCTATCCCCTTACCCTAATAGAAAACTTACTGCTATATTAGATTTTCAAAAAAAAAAAAAAATTAATAAAAATCATTTTGTATCATTTGTAAGCTGTTTTCCCCATTGGGACCAAAAAATGTTCCCACAAGGTCAAAAATTACTGGTATTACTATACTTGTTAGAACATTTGGTCCCCATAGGGAATACCAGGTTTACACACACAGGGGACGTGTGTGTGTTGGTACACAACACTAGTTACACCAAAAGCACATATAGGCATTTCATCTAGGAAAAAAACCTATAGCTTTCAATTAAGGATGTGCCGATCTGATACTTAGTATCAGAATTATCATGAGCTGCATGGGGAACTGAAGGTGGAGGATCCAAATGCAGAATTTATTGAAGGGGGTAATCCAAAATCGAAGTCAAAAACAGGCAAGAGGTTAAACACAATAAACAATCCAAACAATGACAGAGTTCATGGCTGAGGCAAACGGAGAAATCCAGAATAACAGGCAAAGAATCAAAAACCAAGACACAAGAGAACCAGGATACAAGGCTTAAAAATGCAGTAATGACACATGCTGGACTTGGCAATGAATGACTTAATCAATTAGGCTTATAAAGTAAACAGGGTTAAAATAGACAAAACAGGGTTAATGAGACACAGGCTAAAACAATGAGCGCTGATGAGTCTGTGCAAAGGATAATGGGGAATGAAGTCCTTGACAGAGTGACAATAGTCTGGGGTGGAGTGCCCTCTAGTGGACAACCAGGGCACTTCAGCTGGTGTTCGTGAGAGGTATCAAGTGCATTCACATTAACTATTTTATTATTATAATTATTACTACCTACTGAACTCAAAAATAAGAATTAATATTAATACATTTGCCAGATAATATGTGGTTACTTCAACAAAATCTGTAAATCTTAGATCAAGTTGGAAAAAAAATTGTTACAAACTGTGCACCTTGTGAAACCAACAGTTATGGATATAATCTGTTCTAAGATCTGAACATGTATGCAGCAAGAACAAATTTAGTCAGGGCCGTTTCTAGCCATTTTGACGCCCTAGGTGAAATCCCTATTAGCGCCCCCACCCCCATCCCACTCCCAAACAAGAAAATATAAGATTACATACAAAATAACATAAAACTGATTATGTAAACACTCAAACCTTCAATGACAACCTTGACACATTTCCAAATTATATTTACATATACTGTAGGTTATTATAATTTCTTTTCAGACATCAGTTTCTTGTCACATTCAAATTGGTTGTCATAGTAACGACAATTTGTGGAGATTCAGCGCATTGTGATTTACACAAATCTGAACGCATTATTTGCAAATTGACTGTTAGGATAAACATTTTGCACAATTTATTATCTGTAATACCATTATAGCCACTGGATGCCTGTATAGCTCTATGTAACAATCCCTAGTTTCTAAGAAATTGTCATCACACATAAATTAATTTGATAATATCTAAACATGTATCCAAATCTAAATGGAATAAGTGACTACTTTTTGTCTTTATCTGTTTTTTGTTCAATTGTTTTGTCAGTTATTGCATTATTTCAGTCAAATATAAAACCCTTTGTTACTCAAACTACATATAAAATATGATCAGTGGCATAAGAGTAATCAGAATGCAGCTACTTGCTCCTTTGTTACTCATTGATGCGTGAACTTCCCCTTTAAATAACGCACTCTGCCCTCTATGTGTATGACGCTGCTCCCATTAAGCGCTGTTGGAAGTGAATT